AGCCGAGCTCGTGTGGGTATGGGCCGAGCCGGCTCGGCTCGGCCCATTGACATCCCTTACTTCATTCCCTTTTCTGGTTTTTTGTTGGGTTTTTTTTATTGTTGGAAGAAACAAGGAAGAAGTCGGAGCTATTTTGTTGACTTGACTTGAGACCTAAGGAGTTTTCGTTTGCTGAAAATTACACATAAGATGTCTCAAGTTGCTGGAAAAGTGGTGCCAAAATAGAGACAAGTTGATGGATAGACCTTGATGACAATAGACGAAACATGTGGTGGAGGCCATAGTGATGATTCCAGGACTTGGCTGACCTTCTGAAGAATGAAAAAAAGACTATGTAGGGTGTGGGACTATATGGCCCTCAAAATTGAATAGAACAGCTGAAAAACTTCGAGAAAGATCGGACAAGAGGATAATTTAATCAACTTGATTCAATAATAAACAGGATTTTATTTACTTTTAAACTCTCAACCCGACCCCGCTCCTTCCATCAAAATCTCACTCCTCCCCTTCTCTCTCCACAAACATACACAATTCAAAAATTCTGAGAACTTTCGCCATCTTATGTTCTAGAATTTTTTGTTCATTTTCCAAAACTTCATAACTAGAGATTGTTATTCATGCGCCGCATGTTATAATATTTAAAATTCTATAATAATTCTTTTCTACCAATGCTTTTATTGGCTTCTGTGATTTTTTTTTAATTTTTAATTTTTTTCTTTTTTGGAATTGTGGTTTTTATAACCAAGCTACAAAAGCTGTCATAATCAACATTTCTGGTTATGTTGGGTCCTATTTATTGTTAAAGGAATAAGGAAGAAAGAAGAAAAAGTTTTAAGACAAAAATATCGTTAATTTAGTGGAGAAGTTTGATGAACATGGAGGAAAAGGACCTTCTACGTAAACAAATGTATAATTAAAGGTGAAAATGTCAAAAAAATAGAAGAAGATGACGTTTTGCACAATAGTAATGAAAGGTAGAGACGTTATGTGCTAATTACCTAAAAAATGAAAGTCACATTTGTAAATTTTAACCATTTTCATTAAATCTTATTATATTGTTTATGGGTGATTTTATATTTACAATATTGCAACTTGCTTAATTAATTATATTTTTATTTCATACTTCACATTTTAAAGACTTTCATTTTTTATTTTTTATTTTTGCTAATATTTAAATTAATGCTCTCAATTTTACTTAATTAATAAGTATTTCATTGTCACCACGTAGTAAATTTTCATTTATTTGCTAATGACTAATGATTATAGTTTATATTTAAATAAAATTATTGAATTACCTTGTCGGCTTTTTTATATAAAAATTTTACTCCATTGCTTTTTTTTTTTTTTTAATTTCAATTTTCCTTAACAAAAATACTGGATTTGCCCTGGACATAACATGTGCCTCGTTGAACACTTGCTTGAGAAGAACCCCAAAAGTATGCCTCAAGTGTTAAATGTTTAAAAAATTATAATAAAAATAGGACACAATAGGTAACTTGTTGGGGTCATGTTATACAGTATTCTAGGAGTGTTGATATCGAACATGACGACGAGCGTCATAGCTAATATCCATTTACACAGAAATGAACTCCTATTCACGGTGGATAAGATAAAACATTGTCACGTCGCTGTCAAATCTATAATTTTTGACAATTCAACGTTAAATTATTCAACGTTGAATTGTCAAAAATTGTAGGTTTGATAGATAAGATAACTCTTACCCACCATGAATAAGAGACTATTTCTGTGTAAAGGGATATTTTTACTTGTAAAGTGAAAGTTAACTCTTATCAACTATTTGTAGGAGATCATTTCTTTTCAAATGGATCTTTTACTATTGAAGTTAAGATAATTTTTCTTGTAGGTAAAATAAAAGCTGACTACAGTGGAAGTGCTAAACACGTCGCCACATCGAAGGTAGTGGATAAAGTGGTTTAACATGTTAAGCAATTTCTATTTCTTGCATAAATTTTTGGTACCTTTCTTTTCCGAATAATTGTCCAAGTACAGGAAATATTGCCAGATTTTCTACAGAAGTTTGAATTGGAAAATTATGTCCATGTATCTATTTTTTCCCTCCCGAATGTTTGAATCCATTCCATCCATTTCAAATTCCTGTGTGCATTCCGTGAAATTTATCAGTACTTATAACATTGTTCTTCTTTTCCCCTCGTTCTAGAAACAAAATGGCATTCACATTTCACACCGGTCTCCACCCTTTCTTCTCTTTAAACCAATCAACCAAAATAAGGTTGTCAGAATGTTTGTACAGAATTTCGAACGGGCCATTTCATCACGCAATCATCACGGACACCCTTATCAAGGAAACCCGTTTCTAGATTTCATCGAAAACGCGTGGACATTTTGAGTATTGAACAAAACCATAGCAGGAAAGCAACAAATCGAATACCACCGCCTGTTTATTACTACAAAACAACTCAAATTGTATTGCCCCTTCCTTCGAGACTTTGATCAATCTGAAACGAATGTGAGAGAAACCATGTGTGAATTGCATTTTTATTGGGTAAACAGCTTTTTTATGTGTTTTGAGTGTTCAATTTGTCCACTTCTATTTTATTGTATAAAGGGTTTGCAGAGCAAAACGCTGGCAAGAAATTCAAGTAAATTCAGCATATAGAGTCATTAGGAAACGGAATTTGATATAGTTCTTGGAAAATTATACTACTAAAGATAGATTGATTATTGAGTTGAAATGTTTAGATTAGAATAATTGTTAAGAATTAGGGTTTGATCTTAAAAGGTCAACTTTGTTAAGAGGAGTAGCCTAAAATTTTTATAAATTGGTCTGTGTCAACATCATTTATCAATGTGGGATATATATCCCTTAACATGCCCCCTCAAGATGGTGGCTTATTTGAACAGACCAATCTTGAAATCCATATGCTCACTTTTTGGAGCTTAACGGGATCGAATCGTTCGTTAGAGCATAATGGTTTCTGATACCATGTTAAGAATTGGAGTTCCATCTTAAAAGGTCAATCTTGTTAAGAGGAGTAACCAAAAATCTTTATAAATTGGTCTGTGTCAACATCATTTATCGATATGAAATATATATCCCTTAACAATAATTGAAGGTTGGTGTTTCTTTAAGACAAGATGGTTGAAACTAGTGAGGGGGTTGCCAATAAAACTGCGAATTCAAATGGATTGGTTCAAAGCGGAAATGGTCCTTTAGAGGAGAAGATTGATGAGATTCGACGATTATTTGGAAAAGCAGAAGGCGATCCATTGAGGATTGTTGGTGTAGGAGCAGGGGCATGGGGACTAGTGTTTCCAGCAATGCTGCAAGATGCATATGAGATTTTTCGCCGTTGGAAAATTTTTTACCATCATATCAATCATTCATGTTCGATCATCAAGAATATGTAAATCGAAGCGGAAGCGTACCTGAATCAGACATGGTTATCACAATGGATGAATCCTGCGTTTTAGTCTTCCAGATCAACATATAGTTCTTTATTTCTCTCTGAGAATAGGAGTCAGGACAGAATGAACAATCCACGTGTGATCCGGGACCATAACCATATATAAATACTAACGGCCTGTTGACCTAATTCGGCTCATCGTGAAATTAGGAACAGGTCTGGTTTCTGCACATAAAAGCCCACACTTTAATTGGACGTTTCAAAACCCAGAATATCGAAACCTTATTAGATCACATTAAACGGGTTTAACCAAAATTAATAGTCTTTAATTTAATACACAATATTTCACATATAAGCTCACATGTTCGATAAAAAATCCTTACATTCACAACAAGTTTCAGATTAGGATATGGATGAGAGCTGGGAATTCTGTTGATAGAGCCACGGCTGAGCATCTATTCTAGGTGATCAATTCAAGGGAAAATGTGCTGAGGAGGCTCATAGGGCTGTGTGCGTATTTGAAGTACGTGTAGGGGAGACTAGGTGATCGGATGCTCTATGCAGATGAGATTTCGAAAGACGGGTTCTGCTTGAACATGATTGAAACTCCACTCTGCCCCTTAAAAGTTGTCAATAAATTGCAAGAGGCAGTGTGGGATGCTGATATTACTATCTTTGAACAATGCTTCATTCTAGGGCGTAAAAGAAAGCTTGTTATAGCATTTGAATTTGGATTGCCATCAATGGAAACTAGTCAAGTGTTCAAAGAGATTAGTAGGAATTGGAAGGAAAGGATTACTGTTCTGGTCATCATTTCTTTAGCGAAAGGAATAGAAGCTGAATTAGAGCCCGAACCATGTATAATTACCCCAACTCAGATGATCAATCGAGCAAGTATGAGTTCTTATCTTTTCTCTCATGTTACATCTGTTTTTTCATAGATGACATAAGAATTCTTCTGATTAAGTTTCTTAGATATAGTGTCTTGCTTATATGGTTAATGTTCTTAACCACTTTCTTAATACAGTAAAATTAACTTGAAAGTTCATCGTTGTTCTCTCCTAACTTCTGAACATGATTTAATTTGTTTTGCCTAATTTGATAAAACGATTTGTGCTGTTACTCCTCTCCTAATCCTTTATACTCTTGGTTGGGTAAAGTCAATCATGTTACATTAACTTCTCCTAACTGAAAAGAATTGGTTTCATTCAGATGACAAGATATTCTTTTATCTTCGATTGGCACTGGTAATTATTGAGTAATTCTTGTAAACCGAACTCGAGATAACTAGTGCACTTTTTTATCTGCTAATTGCTACTAGGTGTAGGTTGTGTCATTTTATTTCTATTCTTACCAGTTACCACCCAGCATTAACTGAAATCTTTTGGTAGCTGTTGGGGATTTAAGCTTCCCCCAGCTGAGATTAATCCAAAATTGCAAGAAGAAATAGCACAACCGGCACCAGCAATTGCAGAAGAAAAAAGGCAGAAAAACAGATGAAAACCAGCAGAGAAGAAACGCAGAACAGAGATTTAAACAGGAAGCAATCCTCTTCCCAACACTTTATTATCAAAGCAAAACATGATTTACAACACTTGAAATCATCCAGAAAGATTTTCTCCAGATTTATAAGAATTCTACCATTCTTATACAATCTCACTTTCTCTTCTTTTTTACTCTTGAGAACCTCTCATTCAGAGCTTCAAATTCTCTATCGAATTCTATCAGACGAAAAAGGCTCCATTTCAGTTACAAATCAAGGCTCCAGTTGGTTGAAGAATCCAACCACAAATGGCAGTTGAAACAGGTGGTTAAAGACTCCTTCAGTTGGAATCTGTTTTTCATCAGTTGAGGAATCTTCAAGGAATCAATTTCCTTACAGTAGCACATTCGTACAGATTGATGTTAGCCAACAATTTTATCACTGGATGTCATTACACTGGGTGAGAAAGGGCATAGGGTTGACTTCACATAGATTGTCAACAATTTTATCACTGGGTGAAGTGTAACTTCAGCAGAATGTATTTACTTGCTTTTCCATTCCTTAAAGAACAGTCTCATAATTTCGTTGACTTCACAAAGATTGTCTACACGCCTGTAGTATGATGAAACACGAAAATAAATTGTTTGTTTGAGTTATTGTTACAGCACGATGTTAATAAAATTCAAGACTGGAAAGGTCCATCAAGATTGCTATAAGCAGGCATCTTACTCTTCTTCTGTTAATACTTTAACAAGCTTCTTGAAACATCACGAAAAATTAAAATGCATGTTTATTGCTTCTGTGTTTGGTGATATTACCGGATTTTATTAGGCATGGCAAAAAAATTCGCTCAACCCGAAACCCGTGGGGCCCCTCCCTGAACAGGGCGGGATTACCCGCCTAATCGGGTAAATGAGGTGAGGATGGGGCAAGGGTCATTGCCCCGAAGTGGGTATGAAACGGGTACGGAAATCATAGTCTCCGCCTCGCTACCCGTCTCGTTTGATGTTAATTTCATTAAGATTTTTATCAAATAAAAATAATAGATTTATCATATTTTTAAAGGGAACATAAGTTGTTTCTAATAAATTAATATTTCACATATAAGCTCACATGTTCGATAAAAAATCCTTACATTCGCAACAAGGTTCAGATTAGGATATGGATGAGAGCTGGGAGTTCTGTTGATAGAGCCACGGCTGAGCATCTATTCTAGGTGATCAATTCAAGGGAAAATGTGCTGAGGAGCTCATAGGGCGATGTGCGTATTTGAAGTACGTGTAGGGGAGACTAGGTGATCGGATGCTGTATGCAGATGAGATTTCGAAAGGCGGGTTTTGCTTGAACATGATTGAAACTCCACTCTGCCCTTTAAAAGTTGTCACTAACTTGCAAGAGGCAGTGTGGGATGCTGATATTACTATCTTTGAATAATGCTTCATTCCAGGGCGTAAAAGAAAGCTTGTTATAGCATTTGAATTTGGATTGCCATCAATGGAAACTAGTCAAGTGTTCGAAGAGATTAGTAGGAATTGGAAGGAAAGGACTACTGTTCTGGTCATCATTTTTTTAGCGAAAGGAATAGAAGCTGAATTAGAGCCCCGAACCACGTATAATTACTCCAACTCAGATGATCAATCGAGCAAGTATAAGTTCTTATCTTTTCTCTCATGTTACATCTGTTTTTTCATAGATGACATAAGAATTCTTCTGATTAAGTTTCTTAGACATAGTGTCGTGCTTATACGGTTAATGTTCTTAACCACTTTCTTAATACAGTAAAATTAACTTGAAAGTTCATCGTTGTTCTCTCCTAACTTCTAAACATGATTTAATTTGTTTTGCCCAATTTGATAAAATGATTTGTGCTGTTACTCCTCTCCTAATCCTTTATACTCTTGGTTGGGTAAAGTCAATCATGTTACATTAACTTCTCCTAACTGAAAAGAATTGGTTTCATTCAGATGGCAAGATATTCTTTTATCTTCGATTGGCACTGGTAATTATTGAGTAATTCTTGTAAACCGAACTCGAGATAACTAGTGCACTTTTTTATCTGCTAATTGCTACTAGGTGTAGGTTGTGTCATTTTATTTCTATACTTACCAGTTACCACCCAGCATTAACTGAAATCTTTTGGTAGCTGTTGGGGATTTAAGCTTCCCCCAGCTGAGATTAATCCAAAATTGCAAGAAGAAATAGCACAACCGGCACCAGCAATTGCAGAAGAAAAAAGGCAGAAAAACAGATGAAAACTAGCAGAAAAAGACCAGCAGAGAAGAAACACAGAACAGAGATTTAAACAGGAAGCAATCCTCTTCCCAACACTTCATTACCAAAGCAAAACATGATTTACAACACTTGAAATCATCCAGAAAGATTTTCTCCAGATTTATAAGAATTCTACCATTCTTATACAATCTCACTTTCTCTTCTTTTTCACTCTTGAGAACCTCTCATTCAGAGCTTCAAATTCTCTATCGAATTCTATCAGTTCAGAGCTGCTTCACAGCTCCCTTTCCCTATTCCCGGGCCCTTTTCTTTTCTATCTCCGGCTCACTATTTTTCCCAGCCTACTGCTGTAATTTATAGACGAAAAAGGCTCCATTTCAGTTACAAATCAAGGCTCCAGTTGGTTGAAGAATGCAACCACAAATGGCAGTTGAAACAGGTGGTTAAAGACTCCTTCAGTTGGAATCTGTTTTTCATCATTTGAGGAATCTTCAAGGAATCAATTTCCTTACAGTAGCACATTCGTACAGATTGATGTTAACCAACAATTTTATCACTGGATGTCATTACACTGGGTGAGAAAGGGCATAGGGTTGACTTCACAAAGATTGTCAACAATTTTATCACTGGGTGAAGTGTAACTTCAGCAGAATGTATTTACTTGCTTTTCCATTCCTTAAAGAACAGTCTCATAATTTCGTTGACTTCACAAAGATTGTCTACACGCCTGTAGTATGATGAAACACGAAAATAAATTGTTTGTTTGAGTTATTGTTACAGCACGATGTTAATAAAATTCAAGACTGGAAAGGTCCATCAAGATTGCTATAAGCAGCCATCTTACTCTTCTTCTGTTAATATTTTAACAAGCTTCTTGAAACATCACAAAAAATTAAAATGCATGTTTATTGCTTCTGTGTTTGGTGATATTACTACATTTTACTAGGGATGGCAAAAAAATTCGCTCAACCCGAAATTCGTGGGGCCCCGCCCTGAACAGGGCGGGATTACCCGCCTAATCGAGTAAATGAGGCGGGGATGGGGCAAGGGTCATTGCCCCGAAGTGGGTATGAAACGGGTACGGAAATCATAGTTCCCGCCTCGCTACCCGTCCCGTTTGAAATTAATTTTAAATTTAAGTTTTTTATTAAATAAAAATAATAGATTTATCATATTTTTAAAGAGAATATAAGTTGTATCTCACAAATTAGTGAAAAAATAATTATATTTACTAAATAAAGACATAAAAAAATAAATGGGGATAGTTTAAAGTTAATTTTAAATTTAAATTTTTTATCAAACAAAAATAATAAATATATCATATTTTTAAAGATAACATAAGTTGTTTAAAATAAATTGGTAAAAAAGTAATAATATTTACTAAGTAAATACATAAAAAAATAAAATAAAATAAATAATAAATAAGAAGAAAAAATAAATGGGGCAATACCCCGCCCCACCCCGCTTTGCTTTAAATGAGTATGGAGATGGGGTAAGGTAACGAAAATACCCGATGAGACAAGGACGGGAATGGCTGACCCGTCCCATACCCGCTCCATTGCCATCCCTACATTTTATTATCAAATGACACGTTGAACAAGAATTCCTATCAAGTTAAGTTGGTGTCATAAACCTTTCAAATCGTGACAAATTATACCCAAACTTTTCATTTTTGTACCCACGATTCCAAACATTTCATCTCGATTACAACTAAAGGACGTATGGATGGAATCCGTTCATTCCTCCATTAGTTGACCAAAAGTCAATGAACTGACCAAATCTTGACCATTTTAAAAGAATAAAATGGCACATTTAAAATAATTAAATCGAAAAATCATAAATAAATAAATAAATAAATATATATATATATATATATAATGTTCATCTTCTTTAAATCCCCACCCATCTACAAAACCAAAAATCAGAAAACCAATCATTGTCGAGCGATGGTGACGTTTGCGATGGTGGCGGTGGCGGGGGAGGTGCGACATTGTGTGAGTAGGTGGTGATGGTCAGGAATGACTAGTTTTCTGATTTTTGGCTTCTTTTTTTTTTTTTCACATTTTATTTATTTATTTATTTTATTTGTTCATAAAAAAATTTAATAGAAAATATAAATTTATCATTTTACCCTTTTAAAAAATGTTCAAAATCTTATCAACTCATTGACTTTTGGTCAATTAAAGGAGAAATTGATGAATTCCATCCATATATTCTCTAACTGCAATCGAAATGAAAGGTTTGGGACTTTCGGTGCAAAAATTAAAAAATTGGGTATAATCTATCACAAATTGAAAGGTTTGGAATTCGAGTTGCAATTCTCCCTTACTACAATATGAATGTATTTAATTGACATGGAAAATATATCTTAGAAAAGAAAATATTTTCCTTCTTTTGAGAAAAATAAAAACCTACTTCCTCAAGAAAATATTTTCCTTAAAAAGAAGAAAAATTAGACATGTTTTTAAAAGTTGAAAAATAGTTTCTATGAAAAAAAAATAACAATTAAACATTTCAAAGTAGGAATTTGGGTGGAAAAGTGACATTTTTCGTGGAAAATAAATGCAATCAAACATGATGTTCATCACGCGAATACAAGAAAATGAAATATACGTCTAATTTGAAGGAAAATAGGGATTGTAAATTTAAGAAAATGATATTTATAATTTATGATTATTATTTCTCAAATGAGCAATTTTTTAATAGAAAAAGTAATTGTAAATTTAACTCTTTTTTAGACGCACAAAAAAATATGAAAATAAAAATGCAGTAAAAGCGTTGAAGGCACGGGATTGGAGGAATTCTGCAGAGGAAAAGAATCTGAGGAAGCAAAAGAAAGTTCATTGAAAGAATTTTTTTTTTTTTTTCATAAAAAATTTAATAGAAAATATAAATTTATCATTTTACCCTTTTAAAAAATGTTCAAAATCTTGTCAACTCGTTGACTTTTGGTCAATTAAAGGAGAAATGAATTCCATCCATATATTCTCTAACCGTAATAGAAATGAAAGATTGGGGACTTTCAGTGCAAAAATAAAAAATTTGGGTATGATCTATCACAAATTGAAAGGTTTGGAATTCGAGTTGCAATTCTCCCTTACTACAATACTAGTGTGTTTGGTTGACATGGAAAATATATCTTAAAAAAGAAAATATTTTACTTCTTTTGAAAAAAACAAAAACCTACTTCCCTTAAAATAAAATATTTTACTTAAAAACAAGGAGAATTAGACATGTTTTTAAAAGTTAAAAAATAGTTTTCATGAAAAAAAAAATAGCAATTAAACACTACAAAGTTGAAATTTGGGTGGAAAAGTGACATTTTTCATGGAAAATAAATGCAATCAAACATGATGTTTAACACTCAAATTCAAGAAAATGAAATATAGGTCTAATTTGAAGGAAAATAGGGATTGTAAATTTAAGAAAATGATATTTATAATTTATGATTATTTCTTAAAAGAGCAATTTTTTAATAGAAAAAGTATTTGTAAATTTAACTCTTTTTTAAACATAAAAAAAAATATGAAAATAAAAATGCAGCAAAAGCGTAGAAGGCACGGGATTAGAGGAATTCTTCAGAGGAAAAGAATCAGAGGAAGCAAAAGAAAGTTCATTGACGATGGCACTCGTTGATTACGCATCTTCTTCAGATGATGACGAACCTCGAATCAATGAAGATAAACAACTAGTTAAAGAAATACAAGGCCCCGAAGAGAAACGATGCCGTTTTCAGTACCCTTCATCCGTTCCACAGAACAACGATTCAACCCACTCCCGCAAGTAATTCCTAGATAACTCCTTCTGCTCTAATCTTTTGATTCCTGCAAATTTTGGTTTTGGTTATGTTGTTAAAGGTAAAAAGGGAAAAGGGAAACGACTATGAGCTTTTAAGAGTTAATAGAGATTGCTATTGAATAGTAAGCGTATCTTACTCTATGCTAATTTGTGGACTTGAGGAAAGTTTTTAGGTATTATTATAGTATGGAGTACATGAAAATTTAAAAATTGATAGAAGTTATGTTCTATTTGCACATTGTATATACAATTGAAAATTGAAAGGGAAAAATAGAAAGAAGAACAGAACAAAATGGATAACAAACAGACTTATTTATCATTTTTGTGACTAATTAAGATTGAGAGTTGTGTAGTTATAAACTAGATTGAGAAAAGGAAAATGATGAGAATTACTAAAATCTCCTTAAGATTGAAATAGGCTTAAGCAGGTGAGGATTTTTACTTTTTTGGATCTATCTATTCAATATCAGTGCAAGAAACTGAATTATTCAGGCTTGAATGCGATCTACTCAAACTAGACCCATTGTACTCGTAAGCATCAAATACTAGAATTAAGTAACTTATTTGAGTTGTCTTAAAATAGGCTTGGGCGCTTGGCAAAAGCTCACCCGAATAATAGAAGTAGCTAGGCTTGAGTGTGTTTTATGATTCATTCGTGAAATTGAGCTAAGATTTAATAGTCTAATGTTTGGCTTGGGTGCATCTTTACATGCCTTTTCCATCTTATTGATTTTTTTTTGTTTTGAGCGTAGCATTTCAGAAAAGGCACATGAAAACCTATGAATTGAACTCTCTCTCCAATTTCTTATGTCCAAATCAATTCTCTTTAATTGATCTCATTGGGTGAATCTAAAATATGAATCTATTTCAGTAATCTGCTTGTGCTTTCAAGCACTAGCTCATCTTAGTCATTATGTATCTCAATGGATTTTAAGGTTCGTGAAGGGATCCTTTTTTTTTTTTGGATATTTTTTCCCTTCTCTTTTTCTTTTTCAATTATTTATTTATTTTTATGAGTGGGTGTAAGGGATGTACTTTGGCAATGTATATTAACATAATTGTGGCAACATGAGTAAACAATGAATGAGATCAGTAATTTAAATGAAGATAATCCATGTGCTGACGAATATAGGGATTTAGTCAAGTTGTGACTTTTGTTGTATTGAAATTGGAACTTTTGGATCATTAGATGAATTGGGATGTTGACATGTGTATTTCCTTTTTATTTTCATTCTTCTGGTTCTGTAGGGACTGAAGGAGTAATGCCCCTTGCATATTTTGTAGTCATGTAGATTGTAGATTCGGATCTTTTTCAGTTGTTTTTTATGATATTCTCCTGCTTTATATCTGCCAAGTTACTTTTCTGGGCATGTAGGAGCTCAGAGTCGTCATTGCCTAAACGAACAGAGAAATTTTCTAGTCAGCCAGAGTCTTCTGGCCTGAAACTCCCCGACGCCTCTATCCTCTTGGATTCACCTGCTCTGCCATCTCATCTTATGGCTGCCTCAGAACACTCTTCTCGAGTTGCAGCTGCAATGGCTGAAGGCGTATCAAGGAAGAGAGACTTAAATGGTTCTCCGGCCAGTCATCTTCGTAGTAAAGTTCCAAAGGGGACCTTGCCTCATTCCAGGAATGTTCCAGATACAGTAGGTGGCAATTTACTCCCACCTCAACTTACTGGAAGGTGTGTATTAAATGTTGATTATTTGCGTCTGTGTTTTTTTTACATTTGGCTTTGCCCAAATCTTAATGGCAAGTCATCATTCGTTTCTTGATGCAACTGTAACTTATATGTATAATTTTTTCTTCCAATTTCTAAATTGTTTGAGAATGTGATTGTGTGTGACACAAGTTTATTGCTTATTCTTCAGGTAAATAAAGATTAAATTTACCAATTAATACCTGCCAGAAGGGAGTTTGCTACAGATATACCTGGCCATTTAGTCTAATTGGAATGAGTTGTAGATATTCATGTTCGTTTTTACAATGTTGTCCTCTATATATTATTCTAGTCAATGTCTGAAATCTCAGTTGTGTTGTTGGCATTGGGATTCATTTGTTATTTTTAGTATGGATATCATAGCAGTTAGCACTGAAGAAAAATATTGTCTCCAAAAATTAAGATCTTTGTCGATTCTATGCTCCTCTATGTTCTTGCCGTCGTATTATTGAAAAATTAAGGGGCCGAAAGAACATCTAGAACCCTCCAACGACTCAAATATTGAGATAGAAGTACTTGATGCTAGTTTTTACCTTTCAATCAATTTTTTGATATGCATTTTATTTTATTTTGATTTTCTAATCTGTTAGTCGCATTGTCCCAGGATCATGATTCTTCACTTTATAGTATGCATCCAACCACCACCAAGTCCACCACTGTCCTGATATATCATAATAACTTGTACCTTTCGCTCAGTAATTGCAATGCTAAATTCTGTTTTTGAATTTTCTCGATTTGTCTGAACGCCCTAGCCTTAAATGTAAATTTAATGTGCTTGGCATGACATTTTGCCTTCCACAAGTTAAATTTACCCGTGATCAAATTGAATTTTGCAGGAGCAATGTTGTTACGGAGGACATAAGCAAGCTCTTTGTAAGAAGGCATGCCGATACTTCATCACACTAGTACAAGTTGGTGGCATATTGTAACGTTACTATTGTCTTCATGTTATGATAGTTTAGAAACGCTTTAAATTTTAAGGTTCGCTCCTGTAAGACATTATGAATATTGTCTCGTAATGTAACCAATTTGTTACTAAGTTTTTGTCTGTTAAATAGAATACACGAATTCGCGGCTGCGACCGATAGTTGATACATTTGCACTTTCTGATCACATTTTAGCGTATTTTTTAATTCATTAATTGTGTACGGTTCCATTTTATTGAAGTTTGGGGTGATTTGAGTGTTTTAACTGTAAAAATAATTGAACTTATTCTTAATTTCTTTTGTTTCAAATTTCCCCAAAGTTGTTTGTCTCTTTTGACTTTTGTGTTGGGAAAAGTGTGCGCTTTAATCTTTATGGAAAATGTCTAAAGTTTGGCTTAGTAAGATGAGTAATGCAAATGCTTGCTGCTTTTTTCATACAATGAACTCAACTCATGTTTGGTAAACTTGCGGCCGAGGTTGGCCTTGGCCTGTTTTGTAAAAGTTCCCTTCTGATCGAGTGTCTTCAAGTTATGCATAGTGATTTGTTCATATCTAACGAATGCACAGAACAAATGGAAGTTCCCTTTGAGAAAATAAGTATAAAGAGTTAATGGTGAAGCTGAATATTAACACGAAACCTAATACAGATCGGAATATTAACATGAAACTTACAATTTATCGGTATAACATTAGAAGGGTGAAACATAATGATCCAGAATACAAGCATGGGAAGAATTGCAGCGCCTAATGAATGCCATATCTCAAAGCTCCTATCATCATGCGAATGTTCAGTCCTCTTCACCTCCCTTGCGTTCCTCTTTTCTTCAAATTTAATAAAATGATGTACGCCGAAAGACGGTAGTCATCTTTTTCTGGGACAGAATGGGAAACCAAAATGAAAAATCAGGAAAAAATGAACACAACACACACACACACCATAACGAATGGTATGTGGGAAATTGTTCATGACATGCAGACGTATCATTTGAGAAGTCAAACGAGAGCTATTTCATTAGCAATTTAGCATGCTACTTCACCTTGGCATTGAACTCATTGTTTTATGCGAGGTCCGGTCCTGAGGGGAGTAGTTCGTAGTCATCGTGATGCTTGACGTTTTCAGTGTTATTGGAAGTCGAAATGGGAATGCATTTGAGGATAACAGCAACCAACAAACTCACAGCTCCAATCAATATGCTAACCCCCCACAACTCAAGACTCAGTGGCACTGTATCTGCAAATGTTCCTAAAAATTCTACTATAACTACTTGGAAAGCAACAGTGGAGACCATGATGATCATGAAAAGAGAGCTGCTGAACATGCCCTGGAAAACATTTATTTTCTCCATGTCACGGCTGCTTATTTCGTTAAAAACCTGGTATTTGTGAAAGGAAGGTTATCAGAGTTTCCCCAGCAAATATTAGGCCACAATGCAGATGTAAATAAGGTACTTTTACATGTCCTTTTCATTTACCTGGCAAAACACGAAGGTATTGAATATCAAGGTATTAAGAGTAGAAGTAGAATCTGCACCATTCAGCTTCAAAAGCCGCTTCCCTTCAAATGAGAGTATCCCAAGAGTGGCCAATTGGTACAAACTCTGGCCAATAATATTTCTCCACATAACCCTTGTAATGAAATGAGCATTCCTCCCAACAGGTGGTCTCTTCATCAATCCATCATGTGGAGGTTCAGTAGCTAGAGCTAATGCACCGAAAGTGTCCATTATCATGTTCACCCATAGCAACTGCACAGCGGTGAGGGGCGCAGAACCTGAAGTTATACATTAACATTTTTAGTAATCAATGATGTGTAGATTTATAGATAACCCATTGTTTCATTCGGTTGAATTTTGGTGAAGGCTAGCTACCTGAGACGCATGCAGAAACAAAATTTGTTATGAGAGCAACGACATTTACAGTCAGCTGAAACTGTAAAAACTTTTGAATGTTGATGTAAACTGAACGACCCCATTTAGCAACATTCACTATGGTCTTAAAATTATCATCCATTATCACCACATCTGCGCTTTCTTTAGCAACCTGTGTCCATCAAAGAACTCTCCGACATTAAGGCAATGAGATAACAAATAAAGCATCTTATTCTACTGAATACTACATATACAGGATATTAGACAGACCTCGGTTCCTGCTATACCCATAGCAAGTCCAATATCTGCCTCGTGAAGAGCAGGAGCATCATTAGTTCCATCACCAGTCACGGCCACCACTTCCTTCAATTCTTTCCTCAACATAGTTACTAATTTGTGCTTGTCCGAAGGCAACGATCTCGCCATAACCTGAAAAATGAATAGCTCAAGAAATTATGAAGATAATTTGCTCAACACAATGTCTAAATCCTTTTCATGTCAGGATCATACCTGCAGTTTTGGTATTATCTCCTTCATTTCTTGGGTACTTTTATTGCGAAAATCTGGCCCTTCTATGGCTATACCATCATCAGTCAAGATGCCACATTCTTTAGCTATGGCCTTGGCAGTATTTATGTTATCTCCGGTTACCATTCGCACAGTAATTCCAGCAGCTATACAAGTCTGGACAGCTTCTTTTACACCAGGTCGAACTGGATCCTTAATTCCAACTACTGCTATAAGCGTATAGTTGTTATCAGGAATAGATTCATCAGAGATGTTTTCTATATCCTTAAAAGCTAAACAAAGTGTTCTGAGAGCTTTGCATGCAAAACCATCAATGACATTCGCAATGTTCTTTCTTTGCTCATCAGATAAAGATACTGATTCCCCATCCTTCCCAACAATTTTGTCACACATGCCAAGTATAATTTCTGATGCACCTTTAACAAAAGCTCGAAGCCCACCACCTCGAAGAGCCACCAGCACCGACATATTTTTCTTTACTGAATTAAAAGGATCGACTTTTATTGTTTTGCACTCCTGTTTTTCAGCATCCAAGTCCATCTGAAATAGCAAGGCGAACTCCAGCAAAGCTGTCTCAGTTGGAGAACCTAATATTTCAGTCTTCCCGTCTTGACCTTTCACCAGTTCAGAGTTTGTGTTTAGAAATATGCCAAGAACAAGAGCTTTCATTACTTTTTCTGGTATAGAAGACTTCAATGCATTTCCCAGCCTGTTACTTTCTACGGTTTTAGCTTCTCCACATATCCAAATTTGTGTCACCTCCATGTGATTTGTAGTCAATGTGCCTGTTTTATCCGTGCATATGGAACTCACCGAACCCATAGTCTCACAAGCAGAAAGATGCCTCACTAACGCCCTACCTTTCATTAATTTCTTCATTGCAAAGGCAAGACTTAACGTTACTGCCAATGGCAGCCCTTCCGGTACAGCAACTACAAGTATAGTTACTGCAATTGCAAAGAAATTCAGAAGACTAAGAGCATCATCCATAGTCCATTTTGTGATCCCACCATGCTTCGTTTCTAAAAATCGTGCAGTGAGCACCAAAAATGTCAGCACAGCAAAAGCCAAACCAATTTTCCCAATAATAGTCGCCACTCCATTTAGTTTCACCTGCAATGGCGTCTCATCATTTCCTCCTTCACTTAGAGTGAACATCAACCGTCCCCATTCAGTCCTCATTCCAACAGAAGTCACGAGCATTTTACCTGATCCTTCTTGTACTTTCGTACCAGACAGAAGAAAAGGTCTCCTGTTTTCTATATTCACTGTTCCACTCTCTCCAGACAAGCTCGATTCATCAATTGACAAGCTGTAACCTGATATAAAAAGCCCATCTGCTGGAACTTGATCTCCTATGGACAGGTGAACAATGTCACCTACCACCAAATCATAAATAGAAACTTTCTGTCTGTTCCTATTTCTTGTGACATGAACTTGTATGTTTCGTTTTTCTTTATTGAGGTCCCTGAATTGCAAAGATTGCTTGTAGTCACTAATGGCAGTGACTAACACCACTAAGAAAATGCACAGAATTATTCCAAGCCCATCATACATGCCTTTCGGCCACCCTTTTGTGGCAATGCCAACACCTACAGAGATTACAGCGCAAACCATTAAGATAATCAGCGTAAGATCTTGTAGGGTATCCCACACAAACATAAAGAAGGGCCTTGAAGGTTTCTCAACAAATTTATTCAAGCCATAGATTCTTTGCCTATTTGAAATTTCACTTGGGCATACTCCTTTTTCCAGTGAAACGGATAATTTTCTTGCTAATTCTTCTAATCCTCCATGGGATTCCAATCGCTTGAGATCATGTGAACGAACAATTGATGCAAGGTCATCTGGATCAATGCTGAAACCAGCTTGCCTAACCTCCTCGGGGATCTGGCGCTTATCTGCTGCTAGACTAGCGGCTGTAGTATAGTATGCAAGAAACACATATGAGAAGGAAAAACAGGGAAAATGAGTAGTAACACAGTATATATCATGCTAAATCATACCATCAATGAAATGCAGCGCTGCTTTTTGCACGTATAAAGCTATTCGAATCTTCTCCTGGAAAATGGATGTCAAATTACAACTGAGCTAAAGAAAATAAAATGCAAGAGAACTTGATAAGTAATCTCCCAGAAGTTCTTAAGTCTACCTAGATGAAATTCAAAAGTTCCATTGTACAAACAGTCCAAAGCACAACTGTGATTACCATTCCATATTATTAAAAACATAAATCATTGCTATAAATATTCACCATGATCTCAAAGGCCACAACACAGTGATAATATGTATACCATGCCACATACTAAATATTTATTTAAGTTTCTGTTCATTGGAACTTACTTTAGATTGTACACTTAACATGTTGCCCAAGATGTTGCTGGTTTGAGAACAAAAAACTTGAAATCCAACTGCATTAAACGGATTGAATTGCTCGTTCAAGCACTCTAAGCTCTTGGTTCATAAACTTTCTACCAGAATTTGGATATTAATTATGTGATAAAACTGAATGGATTATGGTAGAAAAAATTGGAGGTTTTTAAATGAGTGAAATATTCTCAGCCTACTTTAACACAGACAACTATGGAGAAAAGTTACAATTATTAAGTTCATAAAGCTGTTAAATTACTCTGGTGGAGGCCTACGTGTAATTGAAAGGGATTACAGACCATAACTGGGATGTTCCTACATGAACATTGAGGATACGTGTCATTTGTTCATTGGACAGTTAAAAAGAAAAGAAAAATAAAAAATCATCTATACAGGGATTGCCTATCAATAAATCATGTCAAAAGCCCCTGTTCAAGCAGCATGACTGGTTCTTGAATACAGATTACCAAAATGACAATATGTGCTATGTTTTGCGTGGAAACAGTTATATACAAGACCCCAGCTTTTACACTTTACAGGACACGCTACTTTTCAGAATATGACAAAACGTAAAGCAAAAGGTACTCGTACCATCTTTGAAATCCAGTTTTGTTGGGACTTGATGATTAATTTTTCCTCTTGATTAGAAAATAGTTATTACAAAATAGCAAATAGTTGGACAATGCCATTTTTTGCGTGGGTCTGCTCGACTTGGACACGACAAGAAATGCCTACATCGAACCATCCCAACCCAGTCAGGCCATATGACCTATAAACAATTACTTAAAGAAGATGTATGCTAATAATGTTAATGCTCAAGTTTCTCATAAACCTGTAATCTAAACCCTAAACGCTAAAATTTAAAGTTTTTACAAATAACTCTTTGTAGTTCGAAATTCTATTCGTATTTTTATCGCTCCTTATTCAATACTAGGAGACGACTTTGGAACGTAGTTTTTGTTTCTAAGAAGGTTGAAGGTATAAAATTCAAGTATATGTGAAAGATAAATACTCTCTTACAGATACCTTGGATGACTATGAATATTATTGAATGACTAAAATAGCAATGGTAAAATTGTTGAACTACAAAGGGACACCCATGCGTATCTCGTTGATACAATAATTGGAGTTTGTCAAATGTTAAATAGTGCATTGACATAATAATTGTAGTTTGTTCTATTTGATACTTTTAGCGTGCATTATTTTCATTACCCCCTCTCCCCCCACCACGCAAAGAAAAAAAGGAAAATACTAGTCATATGTCAAACAGAAAAATACCACGTGAATTGAGAAAACAAGATGGGACACAATTGTGAAAGAAAGATGGTGTACTGTTGGTATAACTCCCATGCTCGTGTTCTGATATGACATAAAACATAAAATCAAACAAAAATGCTAAACGGACGGGGTCGGTGATCGACCAGAAAATAGGGCGCCACCTCGCTCCTTAATTTTTACTGTTGAAAATCGGATTAAGGGCTGAGATGAAGCCACGTCGAATTTTTACTGTTGAAAATCGGATTAAGGGCTGAGATGAAGCCACATCGACCCCCTGTTTTTGGGTGGGTCACCGTCCCTGTCACTGTAGCGTTTCTCAAAATTAAAATGCCTGTGCTATGGGTATATAATTGTACCCATAGACACCCGGAACCCCCCTATTGGTAGGACGCTGACGGCAATAGGCGCCCCACCAATAGGGGGCGCTATGTGTGCATTACTGACACCCCTATTGGTACAATTATGGCATTTTCCAAATTAAAAACATTATTTAAGCTCCTCCAGACCAACTTATTTTACATCCTTACTCCAGAAAACAAAAAAATACAAATTTTACATAGAAAAAAAATTCTACCCAAAAAAAAAGTGGGCTAGAGACTGGACGGGGCTACAATCCGACCCAATCCCCCTACGTCCGTCCCTGTCCTCACTTGAAAATTTAATGGAGTAATAACATTTAGAGGACATTAAAATCCAGTAGACTGATTGCATCTAGAGAATAAGATGATCATGGTTTTTTTTAAAAAAAAATAAAAAGAAATAGAAAGGAAACTATTGACCAGCTGTGGTATAAAAGTGATGCGGGCGCCCAACACATGGCCTTCAGCACCATCTCAAAGCTTGTAAGGCGTGCACTCTTTCATTCTCAATACTTGTTTATTTCGCTTTAGATATAGACTCACAAAACATTAAAAAAAAAAAAAAAAAATTGATTTGACTCATTTTAAAAATAAACCACTATGCACTATGACATTAAAATTTTGTTTCTCATAGATCCAATTTTTTTTAAAAAAAATTATTATTATTATTATTTTTTTTTTACAATAAATACTTTCCTTTTAATTTTTTGCACACCTTTTATTAGGAGTCTTGAAGATTGTTATGATTTATTATGAGGTTATTGTGATTTTTTCTTTTTTTTGGTTGAATCTTAAGCCGCGTCATGAAGGAAATTTACCTAAAAACCGAAGTATGCACATTTAAACATTGAAGATGATAGCAAATCATTAATAAAAAATATATAAATTACATAGATGTATGGATGGCAAAATAGCTCGTTGGTTTGAGCCGTCCGTGGCTCGACCCGGGAAAGCCCAAGCTAGCCCATGTGGCTCGAGCCTTATAAAAATAAAAAATAAAAAAAATGCAAGACACCGCCTGCAACGTGCAGGCAGTTCTCTCCACACGAGAAAAGAAGAAGAAAAAAATCAAGTCAACTCGCCTCGGGCATGGCTTGGCCCGCTAAGGCTGGAGTCGAGGCACAATTTTTTGGCCAAACTTTTGTTCGGTTGGCTCGACTCGACTCGACTCGTTGACACGGCTACATCAAATAGAATTAAAAGTTACAAAAATAAGAAGCTGGTTATTTATTTTCAGTTTTTTGTTGATTTAACTGTTGAATTAGTTTATGAGAATAATTGTGGTCGTAAATAAATTTAAAAGAATTTGATAGAGAAATAAAATCACATCAACATTATAGAAGAACTCTATAAAGCTTACAATATATCATTTCTTCACAAACTTCGTATTTGATTAATTCTTTCCATTTCGGAATCTTAATCGACGGCTTAACCTTATCCCTTCTAGAGAGATTTTAGTCATAAGTTCTAGAGGAATGAACCATATCAATTTTAGTTTCAGCCCTTGTTTCGTAAATTTTTTTATCAGATTTAGATAAAAGTTAATGAAATTTATGAGTCTCGTAAAATATGTAGTTAAAATAAATTGTTGACTTTGACTTTGTTAGAAATCTAGATTATAATTTCTATCAAACAAGGGATAAATAATTATGTCATGAACCATCGACAAAGTGAAGAATATATAGAAAATGTAATTAAAAAATAATCATACTTGAGAGTTAGTAGATTTCCACACCATGATACGAGATCTTCTATCCCAATTCTCAAGTGATGCTTAACACGTCTCTTAAAGTCCCAGAACAAGTTTTTTATTCTAACACAATATTATGTAACGTTGTGTATCAAATATGCATATATGCTATTGCTTCATTATAGAATTTTCGCACGAGAAACCCCGAGATCTACTTAAAACATAGCATGAAATTTAGCAATATAGCATACTACTAAACTTCGTTAATGAAAATGTCGTGCTAATGGAGAAATACATAAACTGTGACCTAACCTGCATGATGATAACACAGAACCAAAAACAGCCGCCGGAAAGACCTAAATAGGTGGCATCATGGTAGATTTGTACTTGTTGGCAGCTTGAACTGATAATGAAGGCATTCCTTTACTCGTATTATAGCTTTAAAGTTCGTAATGAACTTAAATTTGAAAAGGGTTTTACTTTTCTGGGATTTGAAGGGTCAAATTCATATTATGAACATGACCTTTCGTTGCTTTATAGTTTCAAGAGGAAATTTGTGTGTTTGAATGGCAGAAAAGTATGGCCATCGTGAAACGTACAAGAAGTTTCCTGGTTTGAAATTATTGCGCATTCAACGCAGCAATTGTACAAGCATTTCAATTAGATCTGAACAGGCAAAATAAAGTAGACTCTAAATTAATCAGAAACGAGTCCGTTGTATCAAAACATGATGAATAAGAATTCAGTAGCATGTCATTTACAACAAATATTAAGGAATGAGATAGCAATAAGTATATTTTCAACCTGGATTTTGCGGCGTTTGCCTTCGACTTCGGCACGTATAGCAAGATCGGCAACCATTCGGAATCGGCGGCGGGGGTTTTTGACCAATTAATGCTTCTTCAGACGGTGTCTTATGGTCTACGTCAAAGTTCTCTCTCAAGTACTGCTCCATGTATGTGCTTTCAAGAATTATCAAAGTAAAACTCAAGAAAAAATCAATTGCATGGAAATATTCAAGTCTAAAATTTAATTTGGGTAAGGTAGAAAATATGAATATTGTGGATATATTCTCAAGAATTTGAGTACAAGGAAAGATGAAAAATGCTAAGTGTACATTATTTATATTTTCTACCTTACTCACCAAGCAAAGTCCAGGAAAGATTCAAAGTCTCCATCGAAATGGGCGGGAAGGAAGAGACTTGCGAATTTGGTATCATTTTCAAACCCTTACACCCAACATTTCCCATTATATATACACTAGGTGCAAGTAACGTGCAATGCACGTTTGCCTAGTTTATATTTAATAGTTTTGTTTAAGAATTAATTTGTTATTAATAAAGATGTATTTTTTTTAATTAAATAATTAATGATGTAATGTTTATATAATTGATAAATAATTAGATGTGTGATTTTGATATTGTGATGTAAGTTGGTGAGATCGAAGAAAATAAGCAAAAGTTGACAAATTTGGAGAAAATGCTAAATTGTAAGGGATCCAAGTTTGGAGACTAAAATGTAAATACTTAAAAGTTGTGTCAAACCTTACGATGAAGATTTGAAAGTGTTTGGAGTCAATTGGATAAAGGAAAAGGTCAATGGAATCAAATTTAATCAAAAGATGCTCACAAATCAATTTCCAACCGAAAAGTTATGCTCCGATGTTT